TTACTGATCATATCTGTTAAGCGCAAAACTGTAGTACTCAAGCATGTCTCTTTTGACCATACGTTAAGGCTGAATAACATTTATAGCATTTAAAGGCAATTTTCGTTGTTTTTGAAGAAGTAATTTAAATTTTATGGCAATCACGTATTTATAAGTAATCTTAAAGTAGTTTCTTTGCTCTATCTTTTAACTGCTAGGAAAAGAAGATACGTTAATAGTATTCATTAGTTAAAACATGCCATTGGACAATTTTTAAGGAGATAAATTAACCAAATTCTTTTTTCGTATCTTCTGTTCTGTAAATAAGCATTGCACAAAATACTCCATTACATTTCCATCATCTTCAAATCATCGGGTATTATTTTGAGACTGCAGTTATATAAGCTACAGGTGACAGTTCAGAAAAGAAAACAGAGTTCATTTTTATCGCTTAGGAACAGGTATTCAAATAATGATATTGTTGATATGGAGCATTCAACACAGTTAGAAGGAAACATACTGTAAGGATACATCTGGGCACTTAAAAGACAATGAAATGAAAACTCATTCGATTGGTTTGTGAAGGGAATATAGTAGTAAGAATCTCCCTAGTGTACTTGATCAAAATTAGGATAGTGACGGCTGAACATGTTATGTGTAGGTACCATTGGTACTCAAAGCCCGTGACCAACGAGAGATGTCCCCGATGATCCACCCAGAATTATTCAAGAGACCACCTTTATTCCAAGGCGTAGGCGTTTGAACTTGAGCAGGAGCATCTACTGAGAAAGCATGCCTTTGTCATTGAAAGATAATACAGAAGCTCATTAACGTCACATTCTGATCAAATTTCAGTTAGAAATGTAAGCATATATTTTTGTCTTCGTTAAGTTGTATTCTACCAGGAAACTGTCCTTCTCGCCAACTAACAAATATCTGGTTATCAGAGGTGTTGCTATTCAATATTTCCTAAGATATTTAACTTAGCTTTTAGACCAAGTCAGTGCGCCACTTAATTAATCGAACTACTTATGAAACATACATGATTTTAATATTTCATACATTTATAACATTATCAGTACCTCTAATTGATGATGTAGTTTTGTGATTTGTAAAATATCTAGTTGATAAACTTTGACGCGGTTACACTAAACGCAGACTGATAAAAAATAAATTTAAGCTTCATATATTACGTACTTTAATACACGAAATTGCTTAAAAACAAATTTATTCATAAGTACGCAAAATTCTTCACCACTAATTCATTAGATACCATTAAGGCTGTTTATGAAAAATGATATAGGAATATTTCAGACTATTAGGAGTTAAAATTGCATGGCAACTTAAACACCATATAAAATACACCACACCGAAATCACTAGTATGTTTTAGTTCATTCTTCCTGGTTGCATTTTGTATACTATTACCTTCCAACAACCTATAATCATGGGTGAGAATGGTAATGTTTTCGATCTAAAAATTTCTGTAGAGTTATTAGTTTTTTTTTTTTTTTTTTTTTTTTTTTTTTTTTTTTTTTTAAGTAGGAGACATGAAAAGTTTGCAGTGCCCTCGCCGAGACTCGAACCTTGGATCCCTCAAATACGCGTCGACTATGCTTCCAATTACACCATGAAGGCATGCGAAAAGTAGGAAGGTAAATCTCCATTAGAACTAAGACCGACCTTTTGTTGGGTACCAGCACACACAGGAATAGTAGGGAATGAGCAAGCAGACAAATTAGCCAAAAATGAGCCTATGGGCATACAGCTACCAGAATATGCATTACCATTTACAGGATCTTTCCTTAAGAAAGTGACATTCGTTGGTATGTTACAAGAATAACAATTTCGCTGGAATAACGGTACAACGGGCCGCAGAACATACAAGTTCATCCCCAAAGTATCTACTGATTTATCTACGTTCTCTAATACAATCACGAATTGTACAACTGGTCATGAACCTTTTATGATTTACTTGAATAGATTTGGCCTATCAGAGAACGACTTATGCAGCTGCGGTCATCAGGGATCACCTAATCACTATGCGTTTAATTGCGTACATACCAAAACTTTTCATCTACGACAAACTTCAGAACAATGCTGGGCAAATCGGCTTAGCCAATTATTGAAATCAAAAGGAGCATTAAATAAACTTAGTAACTGTATAAAAATTTGTTACAACTTAAATACATTTTCTTTCCCTGAATCAAACTTCAATTAGTAAGTTTGTTTATTTTGTCTTTCTAACATTATTTTTCACCAGTATATATTTTATATACTGTCTTGTATATTTAAATTGCACTTACGATTTTTTGTAGCTCATTAATATAAGTTCGTATGAAAAACTCATAGTTTTGCCCTTTAATGATATCAAAACGTGTACTTCTTTAATTAAAAGCAATGTCAACTCTTCTTCTTACTCAGTTTCGTTTTTAATTTGCAGTTTCTTTGTTTATACTTTCATGTATGCTTTTTTTTCTTTTTTTTCCCAAAATTAAATGCGCATCCTTTCCTCCCCCCTTTTTACTACTTTGCAATATTTGCACCGAGTTACTAGAAATTTGAGTACCTTTTTTTATTTATTATTAATATTTTTATTTATATAATAAACACCTCAAGTATTGATTTAATTGTTATAATACTTTGCATATTGTTATTGAATTCCTGCGTCAGGTATATTTTATAATTATTATCATATCTGTCTTTTTACATATAGTATAACTGTTTCATTGAATCATTTCATGTAACGCTTTATTTTGCTGTAATGTTTGTAAGGTATGTGTAGAGTACTGTTTTAAAGCAACTAATGTAATCACCTAACGCAATATATTATCGTATTTTGGTTCACTCATATATCACCTATTTACACATCACTCTTAAGTAACTATTTATGTGTTATAAAACATTTTGCATTTACTACAGTTATTATGTCAAACAACATAAACTTAATGTGTCACATTTCACATTTAGTCGTACTTAACTTATAGTATTATTCGTACTTTATCATAGCTCTATCTCATAATATTAAGGCATTATACTATGGAATACCATTAAATTATGTATTCATGTATCTTATTACTAAATGCACTATATTAGTGTACTATAATATTGTACACTGACGTTTTGCTTATTGCCATATGTAGCATCATATGCAAGATGTCCTGTAATAATTTTTTTAAGTACTTTTCTGTGACATTCATGTTTAAGAGCAATTAATGGTACTTGGTCTTTCAGCCATTGCCTTGTTGTGGTGGCTGCTCGTTGCGTTTTCCACTGATCAGGCATCATTCCGTTCAGTTTTACCTTAGGTCGGAAACCTGGTCAGAGGCGCATAACCATAACCTTATATATTCCCCCTTTTAGAGAGCTACTGGGGATTAGGGTACCCAGTCGCCAATCTTGATAGTGACGAATTATTGTTCACTATCGTTTAGTTTGGACGACACTTGTAAAGTCATTAGGATTCTTTTTTGGAAGCAGGAGAAGTGAAAAGCGTGCAGTGCCCTCACCGGGACTCGAAACCTGAACCTCTCGATCGAGTACGCGTCGAGTATGCTTCCAATTACACCACAAAGGTAAGCGTAAAGAATGGATAAAACACCTTATAATTCGATAAAGAGTTTTCAGTGAACAAGCGCGAATTAAGATCCAACAAGCGCCTTTTTTGCATTTATAGTGCTGTCTATGTGTCTGTCTGTGTGTGTGTTTGTGTGACGTACCTTTTGGCCATGATCTTTTATATGCAGCTTTCAAAAATTTCCACTTTAAGCTTTTCCGCATTTAAGCTTTCTACCTTCATATAAAGAGTTTACTGTATTTGGGGTAAAATTGGGCAACCGAAAGAGCTATTTTGCGAAAGACCTATTTACACCAGCTGGACGTTAAAAGCCCAAGAAACGCTAACGAACATGACGGCTTCTCTAAAGGGAAAATTTCTGATGAGGCCAGCACATGGTCTTACTCCAATTACGTGTTAAAACAGGAAACTGAAGGAATAGCAACGAGCTCTAAGTAAACTATCACTTGCGGTTGATCGTTTTTAAATAAAATCTAATTTTTTTAATAAATTTAAGGTTCAATAATATCTATACTGGCTCATGTACACATCAGATGTCATGCTTTGATTTGAAATTATCGCACAGATTGTAATCTGGTCATACAGTATTTCGGATTCACAAATCAGTAGCTTAACTATCACAATTTCTTTATAAGCAGCATATCTTTAAAATTCCCGATAGAGTGTTAAGTCTTTCCATACATTTCTTTTCATATTCGCTACATTATTTATATATGCTACATTATTTCTTAAAAAGTAATACATAGAGATAACATTTAATGGTAGCATCATTTTATTTGAAAAGCGATTCGACACATAAGTGAACGAACATAGACTTGAGGATTGAGGACTGATTTATTTGCTTTATATTGAGAACTCGTCTTCACAATGAGCCTCGTTGCATTCAGAATAACCCCAAGAATGCATTTAATGCTTATAAATATAATATGTGCCTCTCATTCCCATTTGAGAAGTTTTGGATTATCTCATAATATATATTTTTTACGAACATTCCTTGATATAAAAGTCTTGAATACTGAAATTAAAAGTCGTAACTTATATTTTAATAATTTCCCATTAAAAACGTTTATATGCTCATGTGCTTATAGTACCACTTCCTGTTATGGACTTCATCTAAGTACTATTTCGGGTACTCTAATTTTACTCAAAATCTAATGAACATTTGGTATGGATGTAGACAGCTTGAGTACGGAAAATAGAAATCTTTGAAGGCGTAATTTAAGAGTTATCCTGGATGAAACAGTTTTCGTCACACATATACTTACACACAGGCATTAATTTAAAAATAAAATACGTGTTGTCGGATCTTAATTTACTGAAATTCACTGTGAAACTTTTGGACCAAATACATTGCCTTCTTACTCATGTATACAGCTTGAAGGGAGGTTAGAAAAGTTGTAGAGTCATTAGGTTATTTTGAAGCAGAAGAGATGAAAAATGAGCAATGCCTTCGCCGGGACTCGAACCCGGACCTCTCGAATACACGCCGAGTGTGATAAACCATTTCACCACGAAGGCATGCTTGAAAGAGGGATAAAATATCTCATACACTCCCCCTTTTAAAGGGCAACTGGGGATTAGGGGACCTAATCGCCAAATCCCGGTGGGGAAGAATCATCATCCCCCACCTTTTAGTTCTGGTGCCACTGTAGAGACATTAGGTATTTTTTGAAAGCAGGAGACATGAAAAATGAGCAATGCCTTCGACGGGAACCTGTACCTCTAGAATACGCGCCGAGTTTGCCAACCATTACACCACGAAAGCATCCTTGAAAGAGGGAGAAAATACCTTATAAAGTAAGTGCCCTTTTTCTCTGTTAACGGAGCCATCAGTTTCGTGCGCTTTTCTTGGGCCCATAGTCCCGCTAGTTTAAATAGTCTTTTATGGGCTTCAAGTAAAATACCATTTTCGGTTGTCCAACTTTACCCAAAATCTGAATAACTCTTCATATGAATAGAAAAAGTGTAAATATGGAACATGGAACTTTTTTGGAAATTTGATATAAGAGTTACCTTGGGCGAAAAAAATCGTAAACAGATACAGACACACGGATATCATTTTGAAAATAGTATAAACGTGGTGTGGGGACCCTAATTCGTGCTAAATCACTGAAAACTTATTATAGAATTTTTCGACTGAAAACACTACGGCCGTTACCTATGTCTATAGGTTGGTTGGAGGTAAAAAAGGCACTTATATTTTTACTTTCGAACTTATATAACATACGATAAGGAGATGATGCTTTCTGGCCACAAGTTTGATAGTGAGTTTTCACTGAATAAGCACGAATTATGGTCCTTACAGCATGTTTGCTCTATTTTTACGATGATGTCTGTCTGAGGGCAATAATGTTTCCTTCAGGATAATTCTTATACGAAAGTTCCAGATTTATAGTTTCCATATTTAATCTTTTTACATTCATGAAAAGAGTTTGTAAGATTATAGCTAAACTATACCTTGCTTGTTATATCTTTACTCGAACTGTGAAGCGATTATTCGCTAAGTTCAAACTGTATCAATGATAAGGCGTGAGAAGGGTGAAAAGACCCGTTTATTCAACTCAAGAAGACATTTACATATGACACTCCCGTTCTTACAAACTTAGCCAATAATTGTGACTGCAAAAGAGGAATGTAAATTTAAAACTAAGTTAGATAATCAACCAAAGCTACACAGAGACAGTTAACGCAAGTTGGCTCTTAACCCTGCCACCGACATACACAAACCGGCAATTAATATGCACGGCCGTAAAATATCAAGCTTTAATTAGCGAAACAACGTGGCCGAACGTCAGGACATGCTTTGTCTGAAAAAACTCAGAGATCAGCATAAACAATATCTTTCTACTCTACTTTGCCTAACACGCGAAACTGAAATGTCATTCTGGCAGGAACTAGAAGTGAGGTAAGGCAGAAAAGATAAGTAACTGAACAAAAACTGACTAGTTTAAAACTAAATGCTTCTTTAAAAGTTAATTAGATTTTGGGTAAAATTCCAGTGAACTACCACTGGTTAGCAACTTTATCACTCGAACGGTTACAGCCGAAAACATCGCGGCAAAAACATCGCAGACGAAAACGTCGCAGAGAAAACAACGCAAAGCGAAAGCGAAAACATCGTGGGAGACAACATCGCAGTTCTAAAACATCGTGGTACAAAACATCGTCGTCGAAAATAAAGCGGTTCAAAAACTTAGCAGTTTGAAAACATCGTCGTCGAAAATATCGTGGTAAAAAATAAAGTATCTACAAATCATCGCATGACGATAACATCGCAGACATGCTTTTGTCAGGCTTTAATAACTGTAAATAGATATTCCCATAATAATTTGTGAGCGCAAGATGTAAAGAAGGATAATTTTTACTTTCACATTTTTTTATTAACTAATAAATTTTTGCTGAAAAAGTAAGAAAAGTAAGAAGGAAGCATAAGCATAGAAAATTAAATGCAACTTATAGATTATAATTTTTATGAAAAATTACCAGTAAAAACTTTATTAAAAATGATTTATTAATGGTCTTTGTTGGTTAAATATGCCGGTTTTTTTTTTTAAAATTCTATTAAGTGCTATATGTTGCATTACTTAAGCATAGTAATTTTCTATGCTTAAGTTTCCTTCTTATTTTCTCAGCAAAAAATTTATTAGTTATATAAAAATATGAAAAACAAATTATCCTTATTTCCATCTTGCGCTCACCAAATTATTATGGGAATATCTATTTACAATTATTAAAGTCTGAAAAAAGCATGTCTGCGATATTATCGTCACGTGATGATTTGTAGATACTTTATTTTTTACCACGATATTTTCGACGACGATGTTTTTAAACTGCGAAGTTTTTGAACCGCTTCATTTTCGACGACGATGTTTTGTACCACGATGTTTTAGAACTGCGATGTTTTCTCTTTGCGATGTTTTCTCCCACGATGTTTTGAAGCGCGACGTTTTCGCCTTGCGTTGTTTTCTCTGCGACGTTTTCGACCGCGATGTTTTTGCCGCGATGTTATCTGGTGGGCTTTAATAATTTGCCATCAATTGTTTTCATTGTCTTCTTGGTTTCTATTTATATCTGAATGCATAAATTTTTCCAATCTGGAGGAAGATCTTATGGTAATTAGGGCAATTTTGCATAAATTTACAAGAGCAATTTTGTAAATACAATTTTACATAGCATTATATATATGCTGTTTTAACATACTGTACACAATGTCTAATAAGCCATGTATTTTTCTTTATACACTGTATAAATGGTTATTATTTACAAATTTCTGCATATTCTTATTATGTTTATGTTCATTGCATAATTTCAAGTTACATTGTTTTTTACTATACAGTTACAATATGTTACTATAATTATTGCTTTTTGCATAGTGTATTAATACTAGATGTAATTAATTGAACTTCAAATAATACGTTTGAGTTACATAATTAAACTGAATAAATAAAGAACTTTTCACATTAAAAAATTATAAGATGTAGCCCAAGAAAAATACAAATATTAAATTATAGAAAATAAACTATTATTATTTGAAACTAAGCATATTACATTGCACATAATGTAGTTAGATACGTTTGCATAAAATTAGTACTATCTCTATACCATACCCATTCAACTGTCCATATATTAAGGCCATAAAAATATTATCCCAATAATATGGCAATACCGCTACAGCATCATTAAACATGCATTATTAAACACTTCTAAACTTTATACAGTCATTTCAATGTAATAATAATTAAAATTAAAGATGTGTACTTTTTAACTAAAATACATTATACACTGCTGAATTATATATATATTATCAATTAAGTGATGGTTAAATGAATTATTAAACATCACTTAATCATCGTTTATTAACTTAAATGAATTATTTCACTTACCTAATTAAAATGCATTAAATAGACTAATATTAAAATCAATAAGAAATTATCTTCATTTGATATTAATATAAACAACAATTTTAAGCTAATAATATTAATAAGCATTATTAACTATTAATACAAACAGCAAAGCTAAAGTAATAATACATTAACAATAAATGCTACAAAAATAGTTCAATACATATTGCAACAAAGTCTTACATTAAGATTTACTGAAATGATCTAATATTGTGCCTACTTTGGTTATTTTAAACCCGCGAAGACGCGCACTGCTTTTAGCTACGCGAGGACGTGCGTCGGGCTCCGTAGGCCAGAAGCATATTTCTTAACAAAACAAAAATAAAATTGCTTCTGTAATTGAAGAAAAACATTTAAATAATAAAAAAAGAGTGTATAAAATATACTTTTAATTTAATAAGTCTAATAAAAATGTATTTTAAGACAATTTTAAGACTGAAATTATTTATTATTAACAACAAAAATTAAACTGATTTCTTTTTGAGCGCAAATGAAATTTAGTACTAATTTATGCAATATTAAATTTTTACAGCAATAATTTCAAAATAAAACTTACATTTCACATTTTTGTTTGCAAATAATCGTGTTTACCACAGACATTTTTCTCGCACATAGCGCAGCAAATTTGTGATTTTCGGTCCGTTACGCCAAGACTGTAAACTTTTTTGCAATTTTTAACAAATTTTCAAAGGCATATCTTATCGGAGCCAGTTTATTTATTTCCCTTCTAGAAAAGCTATGTATTATGTCATCAAATCTCAAACATCGCATTAGAAATAAAAAAACGTTTGTTAGACATTGTTAAATGAAAAATGTCAAGCATTGTTCCGTCAGTCACCCAAAGGTCGAGAACATTTACGTGAGAAGCCTTGTGGAGTCCTCCAAAATAAAGAACACCGATAAATGCTCTGATTTCTGTAATATTTGTGGATCGAGCATCTCTCTATCTTCCAAATTTGACGGCAATGGATTCGATATAAATGTTTGCACAATCTACTAGAATTTTTAATATTATTTTATCCATAAGAATTCATAGGGAAGGACACAAATTTTGCTTCACAAACATTTCCGAGCACTTTTCTCCCAATGTTGTGAGCAAGAGTTCTCATAGCAAGTCTTGGCTCTTTTTCATTCCATTTTGTCACATTATATTTGCAAAGATAACAATTCGCTGACACAGAAATACTTTATTCATAACTAGATTCATCGCTTGACTCTAACTCCTCTTCAGAATTCGATTGGTGATCACTAAACTGTTCTTTATCAACTATTTCTTCGTCCTCTTCATTAAGTGTATCTTCATCAGCCGACACTTCGGCTAATAGTTTCTGTAGTCTTTTTCAGTTCATCGTCATAACTCAAATAGCAAGACCTTTTTTGCAATTGCTTAATTTCTTTCACAATTTTAAATGACAATGCGAGCGCGCGTCTCGGGCCTGGGAAGCCCGGTTACTCAGTTTCTGAGGAAAATGAAGGGTTAAATTCCTGAAATGCTTGTGAATGACAAGTACATGACCTTAAACGCAGCTACTGAGAAGGTCGAAAAATTTCCCAAAGGGAGAAATTTTTGTATTACGTTTTTGTAACGACCGGGCCTCGCAGGCCCGACGCGCGTTC